GTGGGGGGGTTGTCGCTTGCTCCGTGCTTTCTGGGACCTAGGATTGGAAAGATGGGGGTGGGGGAGACTGCGCCACAGAGCCTTGCCGTGCCTGCTGTGCCCCCGCGTGTACCCAGGGAAGCGTGGACTGAGCTGCCCCTTGGGGAGGGCTTAGCAGTCCTCACTGGAGGGGAGAAGAGGGCTCCCAGCTCTGTCCGACAGCCCGCAGGGAGTTACCCCTGAGGACCACCCCACACCCAGGGATTCCCCGGGTTTGGCTGCCCACTCCGTGGGCCGGGAAGGGAGGAGGCAGTTGCCCCGTTCTTAAGGGTGAGGACAGTGTCACCGTTGCTGTGCTCTGGAGGGGGGTCCCATGCCGTGCTAGGCGGCCTGGACTTCTGGGCCACCAGGGGCAAAAGATGCCACCTTTTCCCCATGTGTTTCCAAAGAAAGGTTCTTGGTTCTGTCCTCACTGTGGCTTTGAGGGAGAAACTTTGGGATTGGATGAAGGCCCTAGGGAAACTGAGGCCCAGGCTGTGGTTTGACCAGAATCATTTATTTAGCAGGTCCACAGAGCTGGCCTCCCAGGCACTACTGCCCTCCCCCACCCTCTGGAGGGACCAGGGCTCTTTTTGTTGTCCAGACCCCTAGTCCAGTCTGGTGTGGATTCCTGGTCTGGTGCTCACCTTCCTAAGCCCTGCAGGGAGTTAGTTACCACTTTGACAAGGGGCTCCAGGATGCCATGGGTGTGAACACTACAGGGATGAAAAGTGTCTGGGGCCAGGAGAACTTTGCTCAGGAGAAACTCAGCTGGGTACCGGAGACTGTGGGGCTGTGGACCTGTGGGCCTGTGCTGTCCCTGAGGGCTCAGGGAAGGAGTGAGGTAGTTCCAGAAGAGGACCCCTGGGGTGCAGCCTGGCTCCCCAGAGTCCATCCCGTGTGTCAGCTTGATGGAGGCCCAGGGAAACTTCTCAGGCAGCTGGGGAAGGATGGAGTTGAGGGGGACAAGGAGATGGAGTTTCTCCTTTAATGGCCAGCAGGGTTGGGAAGGTGTTGGTGAATGGGCTTCTCTCAGCCTCCCCTCCTGTGGGGATCGATCTCTCTCTCCTCTCTTCCCTCTATCCCCTGTCCACAGAAGTGACTGCACTAGATATGTTGCCCTGTTGGTGAACTTTTCCTCAGTTCACCTTGTCCTCCCTCTCTCCCTGGAGCAAATGCCCTTCTCTAGAGGAAAACTGAAACAGAAAAAGAATGACAGAGTGTCAGAGCCAGAGTCAGCTGTCATCAGTGTACAGATGAAGACACTGAGAGGCACGGGGTGCAGTGGGTCGCTTCAGTCCTCTTGCCTGCACTCAGGTCTCCTAACTCCCCAGCCCTCCCCAGGGCAGATGAGCCACCATGTCCTGGTACCTCCCTCTCCCCATAGCCCCAGCCCTGACAGGGGCCTCCTGACAGGTGTGGGGGTGGTAGGAGGCCGAGCCGTTTCACCTCCTTTGAGATGTGCTTCTAGTTTCTTGGGGAGGAAGCAGATTGAAGAGCCCAGCCAAAGTCCCCTGGTTACCTTCTCAGCGTGCCCCACAGGGTTTCACACTTCCTATAGGCTGGGCAGATCCAAAGACAGGCATTTCTCCTGCCCTGGACCAGCAGCTGTGAGCACAGGCCCAAGCACAGGGGACCCACAGGCAGCGAAGAGCGAATATCACGTCAGGGTGGGAGTTTGGCCCAGCCCGTGATCCTGAGGGAAAGGAGCTGCCATGTGCCCAGCTCACAGGTAGCTGCTCTTCGGAGACACCCGCTGAGCACAGAGCCCTTGAAGATGGTCCTGGTGACCATGGCATGCCTGGGCTGAGCACCAAGAATCTCCGGGGTGACTTGTGGGAAGGGATGGGGTCCTCAGAAAATGAGCTGCCTGTGAGGTGACAGTACAGTGCCAGAGAGGAAGAGACCTACTCAGAAAGGGAGGGAGGGAGGGAGGTAGAGAGAGAGAGAGAGGAAACCCCATGTATCCAGCTCCTCCACTCAGGTTTGTTTTCTAGGAGGAAAGCCAGTGGCCATAGTCCCAGGAAGCTGCTGGCATGTCACTCATGGATAGCGCAGGCAGGGGTGGGCCTCAAAGAGCCCTGTCCTGGCATTGTGGAAGGAGCACCAGACTCTCTGTCCTGGACTGAGAGCCCCTACTGGCTGGCACTCTGCTCTCAGTTTCCCTACCTGCCGGCTAGGTGTGGAGACACCTTCTCCAGATGGGTGGGAGGGCTTTGGAAACTTGTCAGGTGTTTATTGCAGCCAGGAAGTGTTATTCCTGGAGACTCTGGCCTACATAGGAGCCATCTGCTTCCTGCCTCCATGGAGGAAATGCGGTTGTTCCCTCTCCTGAGGATGCCCTCACCCTCTGTGGCCAGTCAAGGGCTCCATCCAGGCTTGGAAGGGGCCTGGCCCTCTAACACACCTTGAGCTATGTGTTGGCCCTTTGGAGCTTTTCTTCCCCTTTCCTCAGCTGCCTGTGATGTTTAACCCATTTGGTACAATAGCCACCCATGAAATGCTGGTGTCTAGTGGCACGGTGGGCTTCCTACAGGCCTGTATCTTCCACCACTCTCCAGCCCCATGGATACTCCACTCTGGCCCTTCCTAGGAGGCGGCTGGTGAAGAACCATAGGGATAATGGACATAAAGTGTCAACGCTCTTTGCACAGCTTCCAGGGTGCGGGAACCCACGTGGCATTCAAACTACGGGCAGGCTCGCCTAGGGAAAGCTGTAATGAAAGTGCTTAGGGGAAGTGCTCAGAGTGGAGTGAGGTCAGCAGCTTTTAGTGTCCTGTCTTGCTTGAGCTGGGGCTCTGTGCTCCCTCCTCCCGCCTCCTGGGGCAGCAGTGGTTTGCACGGCTTATCACACATCACTCACACACCGCTCACACATGGGTGTTCTTGCCCCTGAGTTTGCGGGGACAACTCCTATAAGACAGGGTCATGGGGAGAGCTGAGATCAGAACCTGGGCCACTGAGATGTTATTGTTCTTGTTCTAGATCTGTCTGGATTCCTCTGAACTAACCAAGGGTGGCTTTTAGGGCAAACACCCTGAAGTCATGACCCATGTTCTGTGTTTCCAGGGCAGGATATATACGCAAGGTGCTGTGTTCCAGGTACCCCTGGGGCTGGTAGTGAGACATGCAGAGAGGCAAGAGGGAAGAAGTTTCCTCATCATTGCCCTCTACTTCCTCCTGGTTATTAGTGATGTTCCTGAAAGGGAAGCAGAAGCATGGACCCACTTTGAAACTAGGACCTACCCAAGTGCCCTGGGCTCCCACCTTCTTTCTCACCCTCTGCTCTGTTGTCTTTTCCAAGCACCTGCAGGGAGGGCAGGACAGGGGCAGATGAGATATGGGCCCGTGTGCCACCATTCCTGCCGAGTCAGGGCTTCTGATGTCCTCAGAGGATCAGAAGCAGAAAGGCCAAGACAGCTTCTAGTGGAAAGCCAAGCTGTCCTCTCTTCATCCCTGAGTGGCTTGGCCCAGAGAGACTGGAGCCTTCTCACTGGGACTTGGTCTTCTCCAAATTGTGTCCAGCCAGTCGAATGCTGGCCTCAGGCCATGTGTCCTGGCAGGAGAGCAAGGGACCCTAAAGGCTCTGGAGATTCAAGGGAGGGACATGGCCCCATGGCCAGTGAGTCAGGGCAATGGCCATGTGCTGAGTTTTTGATCCTGAGGCCCCATCACCTCCGGGCACCTGAGAAGCAGTGATCTGATTGACAGAGCACTGTGGGGACATCAGCCATGCCTGATGGGCCTAGGAGCATGAAGGCCTGTGACAGTCAAACACACCTGGGGGTGGTGTTCCGCCTGCTTCATTACGAGCTCACCTTACTTCAGTGAGTCTTGTGATTGCAGCACAGTAAGCTAATCCCCACTGTGTCCGCCACTGGGAAGAAGGGTGGGAGAGTCCAGGAAGATGCCTGCCTGAGTGGTGCTTGGTGACTGAGTCCCCTTTCCACTGCCTTCCCTCTGAGTGACCTCAGGCATGGTTGGCCATGCTTTGACGGCAGCACACTATGTGCACCAAGGGCTGACCAATGAGGTGCATTGCTCCAGGCACCGTGAGAACTGCAATGTTCCCTTCAACAAAGCTTCAGGTCCTTGAGGGCCTGGCAGGGCTGGCAGTGGGGGTGGGGCGGTTACCTCAGAACCAACGGGTGTGTATGGCGAGTGTGGAGGGAGTGTCCTTCAATACAACAGTCACACTGTTCTGGGCCAGGGAGCTCTCCCTTCCCGGGCCACGTGTGCCCAGAGTGTAAAAGGGCCAGGTGTGAGGAGACCTTCTCAGGCACTGCAACAGTCTGGACAGGGAGTCCGGCCTGACACAGGTGCTGCTCAGTGACCTGTCAGGCCCTGTTAGCACTTTTGAATCCTCTCCCTCCTAGGAGAAAGGTGAGGCCCACTTGATAGAAGAGAAAGCTCAGGCTCAGAGAGGTTGTGCAAACCATAGTCGTGCATACGCATCAGCAGCAGGACCCCAGTGGGCCTGCCTGGCCCTCACTGTGGGCGCAGCCTGGTGTATCTCTGCTGCTGCTGCTGCT